CTGTGACTGTTTGGTCTGTATTTGCTACTGTTTTGTTAACAGTTCTGGTAACAGATATGATGTGTATTTGGAGCGATTTTGACGCCAACAGACGATGACCAAATCTGTTCTGAATTTGATGCGTCACTTTGGCTTTGTTTTGTTAGTGGCAAACCTAGTATGATTTTGGTTTTATTTTGACATTTCACATGTTTGTAAACCGCGGTTTTGTCGCCAACGCTGACGAAATTTGTAGGCCAAATCCATATCTATCTGTGTTCTCTTTAGAATATGGTTCGGCGACTATATATGTCAAACATGTAAGATGTTAAAATAAGACCAAAATCATAACAGGTCTGCCACTAATAGAACAAAGCCAAAGTAACGCACCAAATCCAAAACAGATTTGGTCATTGTTTGTTGGCGCCAAAATTGCGCCAAATACACATCATATCTGTTACCAGAACTGTCAACAAAACAGTAGCAAATACAAGCCAAATGTAGTTATAATGTATCAAACGTCTGAAGTGCGACAGATTGTTACCAAACGCAAATCAGATCTATCGCCTAGAACCCAAGTAGAATTACTTACTAAAAATTAAATNAAAACCAATAGCACATTGCCTTGTCGGAAAAGAATTAATTCGAGATTTCACTCGAATTAATTTCTGGAGGCCTGATATTTAGCTCGCCGATCAACCAATAAACTCCATTGAAAGGGATCGGACCTGAAAAAATCTTAATGTGATAGCGAAATTTGAACTCGAGACTTCCACATTCGTAGCTCCTTAGTTCGCGAGATTACTTGTTTCTTACTAACATATATATTATTTTTATCTACTTATTCTTAAGCTATCCTACATTTCATTTATTATTTATTTACATTATTATTTTACTAAAAATGTTGCGATGCAATGTACCTGCAAAAATGAGTAAAAATACTTTTCTTAGTGTTATTAAATATAATTTAAAGAGTATATTTTTACAACGCGAACAAATTTTTTGTTAACATATGCTGATTACATTGTTTAACACATTTTTGAGACTTGAATAAACAAAGTGATTTCTAATAGAGTTTTGGTCACTGAAAACGAATCCTGCGGCAAATTTGATCTACTACGTCAGATTTCGGAAAAAATTTAGGTTAAATGTGTAACATACTGTCTATTAGAGTGAGAAAAAGCATATCAGTGTGTCTCAATCACACTAGTGGACACTGTGTTACACAGTGTCGACTGTGTACGTAGCTAGAAAGCTACTCATTGTTTTATATTACTCAATAAATATAAGAATAATTTACTACATTTATAAATAAATGCATAAATTCATAATAAATTAATATTGTATGATAAACATACTACTTGAAATGTTGCAAAATAGTTTTTTGTTCAGATTGATCTAATATTAACACTTTGGCTGTCTCTAAAAGGTTTAGACATAATAGCAATAAATGCGACATAATAGCGATAGAAGCATAGCACAAAATAAAAAATTTGCGTTTGACACTTCTATATATGCTTTATGTTGCCAATGTAATAGTTGAACAGATCTGTNGCGTTTGTTTTGTCAATCTGTCGTCAGCGCGGTCGATAAGCCTGCTTACTGTTTGTTGTCAATTTGTCGTGTAAACGTAATGAAAACTGTTGCAGTTTTGCGTGCCACCTGGTAACCAGTTGTAACTGTAAAAGACTATTGTTGTAACAACTACTGTCTGTTAACAATCTGTTATCAACACAGGCGACAGATANGACCACAGATAATCGTCATTTTGTTGCTTAGATATGTCAAACAGTTAGTCTTGTAGACTTACGTGCAAAGTTCGCATGTATGCACGAACAGACCTGCTTGGTGTTCTGTCGTCAATGCTTTCAACAGATCGACCCGACTGCGGTCACCGTTTTGTCGTAAACAGATGCCGTTACGGTTTTGCAGACTCTTTGGTCACAGTATTGCTAAAAACAGACCTGTTTGCTATTGATCATCTATTTGTTGTCAATTTNACTAACATATCGATGGAATCGTTTTGGCCGCAATATTCATGTATATTGTCAACGGGGTTGTTGTGTCCTTTGTCTCTGTGTGCTAACNGTTTCGGCAGCACCAAAGCATGTTACCGTATTGGAGCGTTTCTGCAAACAGTTTCTGATGTCAAAGTTTGCGCAGTCAGAAATTGTGTGCTGGTGTATCAATCACAAATCACATTGTTGACTAAAGTTATTTTCAAGTCTAGAAAACTATCTTTNGATTGAACTTTATGTGTAAATTGTATTGTTTAATGTATGGAATTACAGACGTTCGAAACTTTATTTAATTTGATATTAAGAAAGGCTATTATAATGTCATCTCCCTTACACAAAACAACTACTGGCAGTAATATATTGCGGCAATGATACGAAAAAATTACTGACATTCTGTGTAATTGCCAGTAATATTCTCAGTGATTCCTGTAATACCTAATAATATTCTTATGTGATTGTCAGTAATATTTATATTACTGAATTTATTTATATGTAATCGGCAGTAGTTCGTTTTCATAAGAGCTACTCTTTACAGAAAAGTATTACTGAAACATCAGTGATTAATTATTGTCGCTTAGTAATTTAATTATTAAATTGCAGTGATTTTTAGTAATTTAATTAGTCCTGTGTCAATAAGTTTCAGTAGCTTAGTCATCGTAGTATGTGTGCTTGATTACTGATCCAGTAATTGAGCCGTGTAATGAATTACTGAAGTATCATTGAGTGATTCTGTAATGAATTACTTGCTGAGTGATGGAACTATGTGATCCATTACTCATACTCAATGATGAATCATTGACTCAATAATTTAGCTGTAACAAAAATTACTGGCACATTTATAATAAGAGAGATGTTTTTATCCACTGTTGCAAGTATATTGCACACTGCAATATTTTAAATAAAATAATACTTCAAATAAATAAAATGAAATTTGTAAGATAACTTGAGTAATATTAAGTAGATAAAAATAATTACGATTTATTAAGAAACAAGTGGTTTCGCGGACAGAGAGTGAGGGAGCTGCGAATATAGAGGTCTCAAGTTCAAATCACCATCAATCTGTTAAAATTGTTTTAGGTCTGATTCTTTTCAACGGAGTTCACAGGTCGATCGGCAAGATAAATCGGGTCTCCAAAGATTAGATTTGAGTAAAATCTCGAATTAATTCCCCTTTCAAAAGGCGATTTGTCATTGGTACTTGTTTTCTTTTAGTAAAGAATTCCACTTAAATTCTAGATAAAATCTTTTCTTAGATTTTAAATTGCAAAGCGTTACATTTCCAATCGATATAGAATTTCCACGGAGAATCCAATATATTGTGGGAAAATCTATCTGCTTTCCGAATAAATCCCAAACAACTTTCTATGCTAACACTAACAGTAATTTTTTCAGTAATTCATTATCAACAGTAATAAGTCCTCAGTACTTATTCAATAATTTTCAGTAATGTGCAAAATTATCACTGGATCATAGGCTAATAATTCATTATTCACTTTGGTTTAGTAATTATAAGTAATAAATTTCTGTAAGGAACGTATCTGAAATATGTCAAAATGTAAAATTTTTTTCAACTTACTTAGCGCTCTATGTTCGATATACTTTACATTCACATACTTTACATTCGATAATACAATCTACAAACAAACATTCGGCTCACTGATAAGTTTACCCTGTCATAATGGCAGATATCACTACGTAAGATATCAAAAACAAAGCGCTAAATAATTTGAAATTTTACATCCCGATACATTTTAGGCTCAAACTAGCCCAATCACAAACAAATTGAAAATTTTTTTGTTTATATAATGATTGATTAATGTTCTTACATATCAATTCAAACATATTTATCTGATAATAAAAATGAAAACTACACATTTTACAATTAGATCAATAGTTTAAATATTGTTGGTTGTTCCAAAACCACGGTAGCAAATTTAATTACTTATTGGCTGGATTTGAAAGGATCATCGTATTTAGTCGATACAGCCTGCAGCGCTAGTCTTTATGCTATAACGTTGGCTTATAATATCATCACATCTGGTAGATGTGAAAGCGCAATTGTTGCCGCTGGAAATCTATGTCTACAGTCGACACCGACTAGGCAGTTTTCTCGTCTTGGTAGTATTATTAAACCTATTTATATCTTTTACTATATGTGTATAGAAAAACGATGTATATATCTTAATAATGCACTTTCTCACATGTAATAATGATGATATTATATGTATGNGTAATTGTAGGTGTTTTGTCACCAACTGGTTATTGCAGACCTTTTGATGTAAACGCAAATGAATACTGTAGGAGTGAAACAGTATCGGTAATATATCTTCAAACAGCGAAACATACAAAAAGAATTTATGTTTTGTGCAAACATATTACAATAAATAGCGATAGATACAAAGAAAAAGGAATAACATTTCTCTCGGAAATTATGCAAACACGTTTATTAACTGAGTTTTATCAACATTGCGACATATCGCCAACTAATGCGTTGAAACGCACGGTACCGGCACAAAAGCCGGAGATCCTGTAGAAATTAATGCTATCTCAAATGTTTTTTGTAACAATAGAAAAACACCGTTGTGGATTGGCTCCGTGAAATCCAATCTTGGTCACGCTGAACCGGCCAGCGATATGAATCAGATCGCTAAGGTTATTCAAAAGTTTGATACTTTATAACTACATTTTGTATATTCTTGAAGGCGATAATTGCAATGGAAACTGGCTTTATTCCAGCAATGATCAACTTTACATTGCCACAAGAAGACATAGAATCTCTAAAAAATGGATCTGTACGCGTTGTTACGGAACCAACGCGTCTAACAAACGGTTTTATATCAATGAACTCATTTGGGTTCGGCGGAGCCAATAGCCACATGTTGTTACAGTGGAACCGAAAAAAAAAGACCAATAACGGTGCACCAAATGATGACTTTCCAAGACTTGTTCCTGTATCTGGACGCACTGAAGAATCAGTGAAGTCGTTTTTAAAAGACGTAAGTACGCACAAAGCGTAAACACGTTATGTTCAATTAAATAAAATATATATATATATATATCTTATTTTTGGAATTACCATATATATATATATATATATATATATACAGGGTGTTTCATAATGACCGTCTTACCGCTCGTAGGCAAAAAGAAGGGATTATTCTAAGACAAAAAGTCCTATCCCTCACTTTGGAAGATTTGTAATAATTAACGAGATATTAATTAATAAAGATCTGCTAATCAGCGTGCATTCAGCGTAAGGACAGCCCAGTCTGTCACGCCCATAGACTTATATAATAGACGGAACATTCGTGTAAGAGGAGCTGAAGCTTCGTTAAAAGAGACAGAAATAGTCGTGGAGTAATTCTCTTCTTTTCTAGCAGTGAGTTGATTCGTGGCCGCGGCAGGCCGAAAGCAACGAAGATAGAGTTCGAGAGTCAGTTGAGAGAAAGTGATAGTGAAAGGTGATAACATAGATTTGTGAGATGATTGGTCTCCTACCATCTTTTTGTAAGAGAGAGAGACAACTACTCCAGCACTATCTCTGTCCTTTAATGTTGTTCTCACCTTCGTCATATAAATGTTACGTCTATTATATAAGTCTATGATCGCGCCGTACCGACGGAATACAGTAGCGCGGATAGCGCGCTGCCCAAACGCACCCTATATGCTGTCTATGTATGCACATGTTATTCTGTTAGTTCCTCCCATTCCGTCGCTACGAGCGGTGAGACGGTCATTATGGGACTCTGTGTATATATGGTAATCCCATTGTATATATACAGGGTGTCAACGAAAGACCGCCCACTAAGTACATAGTGTTATTCTTCATTAAAAACTGTCGAAAAGTCCTGAACCGTTTTTTGCTATTACATGTAATAAAAGAGTAATTATTGAATAAGTCAGGCCAATTAGCACCGATCCTTAGCCAGGCGCACGTCAGTGAGCCGCGCGCCTGATAGTGTGCGTGAGCGCTCCGCCGCTACGGAGCGGCGGTCGGCGAAGCTATGCTTTCGCGTACATCGCTAGCATGAAACTTTTTACGCGTCGTAATAATTAATAGAAATAATTTTTTTTTGCATAAAAAATTCACATTCTTCCTGTTTCTTGAAACCGTATAGAAAATTTCAATAACNAATAGAATTGTCGCCAAGACGTAACCATTCTCATAGAGAAGGACTAGAGAAAAATTTTGACAAATACAAAAAAATGAAAGAGGTCTTTTCCGTTTTTTTACAAAACTTATTTTGTAATCTGTGTTTTTAGAAAAATCTTAGCGTTAATACTAAAAGTTTACACCGAATTAAAACCACTACAAGTGATTTTGTGTAGTTGCTCAGAAATATTATAATAAATTGTTTAAGAGAATTTAACTTAAAACAATTAAACATTTAAACGACTATTTAAAAGAAAATATATAACGCATGTAAAAATATACAGAAAAACTTATTCTTTTACAAGAAAGATTTATTGTTTTACAAACTTTATTATTAAATTATTTATTATTTGTTATTAAATTATTTATTATTTAGTATTAAATTTCTTATTTACAAAATTATTTTTGTAAAAGACGGAAAAAACCTCTTTCATTTTTTTGTATTTGTCAAAATTCTTCTCTAGTCCTTTTCTATGAGAATAGTTACGCCTTGGCGACAATTCTATCCGTTATTGAAATTTTCTATACAAAAAACAGGAAGGTTTCAAAAAACAGAAAGAGTGTGATTTTTGATACAAGAAAAAATTATTTCTAATAATTATTACGACGCGTAAAAAGTTTCATGCTAGCGACGTACACGAAGGCATACCTTCGCCGACCGCCGCTCCGTAGCGGCGGAGCGCTTACGCACACTATCAGGCGCGCGGCTCACTGACGCAGAGATGCTAGTTTGCGGACGCTAGCAACATGCAACAGCAAGTGGAGGGGATACGCACACAGGCGAACAGCCGTGTACGTGTGCGCTCGGCGCTTCGGCCAGCTTCGAGCAGTAGANAGAGACGGACATATATAACCNCTCTCTTTCTTTCGCTATAGCTATAGCTATAGCTACCTGCCAGCCGCGAGAAGCGTGGTTAGTTGCTAGCCCGTTTCTTATGCCGTTCCTTCTCTCTTTCTCTTTCTCTTACTCTCTCATACTTACATGGGCTGCGTTTNGATCTTCACTGCCGGTACTGCAAATCTACAGCACATGTGACGTAAAGTATAGATTTGTAGTACTGGCAATGGATATCGAAACACAGGCTTAATAAATCTGAAAATGCGTAATATTATGTGTCAAAAAGTAATAACAATAAAGTAGAATTTAATGTATTATACAAAATAGAATTTAATATATTATACAAAATAATCAATACATGAAATGTATTGAAAATCAAAACTGATCAAATAATAAACAAACAGCAAGAACAATTATTTTTTATATAACAAATATTATATACAGACATAATAAATAATAATAAATTTCTTTCTTTTAACTATGTTATACTACTAACTACCGTGATTATTGAGAGTATGAAAGAAACACAAAACCCATAAAATGTAATTATTTTTGTATCATTTATTTAAACTTATTATAACAAAACATTGATTTTTTATGAAGCACTTTGGCAATAAACACTGCGTTTTCATACATAAAGAAAAACAATATAAATAATAACATGCATAACAGTATAAATAACAGTATTGATGTATAAAAACTAAATAAGAAAATATATAATAAAATAAACAAATATATACAATTAACAAATATATGTTAAATAACAATTAACAAATATATAAGCGTATTTACACAAGTTTTATAATAACATTTTTTAATTTCTTAACTAGTTGAACACATTTCTAAGTTAATCGATTATTGAGACGCATCTCGCTGTGTCGCTTTTGTCCTGACGTAAAGAGTGACAATGATTGCTTCTTTGTTATCTTCGATAGAAACCAGTCTGATATTTTCTTTTTTATAACGGATTCAAAGACGATTTGTCGTATAATTTATAGTGTGTGTGTGTGTGTGTATATACTGTGACGGTTTTCGCGGATGTTACGAAATTCCCGCGTCGTCCCGCCCAAAACGGAAAGATACGAGATCGGGACACGGACGGAAGTCCGCGAGATAGGAAACGTCTAGATCAGCAGGACAGAAAAGGGTGATAAACCGAGCATACCACTGCGCCGAGCCGACGAATTCTTGGATATAATTTTGGGCGCCAGACGCGTACTCGCGTCAAAATGTGCGTCGCTCGACACAATGGGCCGACTAGCTCTATTTGAAACGGAGAGGGGGTGGGTCGGATGATAATTAAACACGGCTGTCCCGGACGAATCTCGGATTAGGTTCGCAATCAACCACACTGCAGATAAATTAGAAGAAATAAACAATTTATTACAACGCCGCGGAATCAGAGACAATTGAACGAGAATAACAAAAAAATACAAAATAAAGTTCACCGTTAGGATACGGCGAGATCGCTTTGTCGCGGCGGCAGTAATTACAAAAGAATGAAAAAATAAAAGAAAATACAGAAGTATCGGGACAAGTAACAAGACACTTTTAACAGACGGGATCTATCGCAAGACCAATTTCGGATATCGACTCGCAATATCGAGCACGTTACGTCGTCGCGCTGGCTTCACATACGCTATACAATCT